GGCCCTACTACGGCCGGCGGCGGCAGCGCGGCTGGGCTCAGCGGCTCGCAGCCCGGGCGCCCCCCCTGCCGGCCGCTTGCTAGCTCAGCCTCACCCGCAGTCTTGTCCGCTGGCTCGCTCGCCCGCCCACAGGTCGACAGGGCCCAGCGACCCCACGAGCGACTCCACGTAAGGCACTGACCGACAACGCTCCGCGACCGCCGCGCCCCGCCCCTTTTGTGACACTACCTACCAATCGCTGGACGGCGCTCTCGCTACCCTCCAATCAGCGCTGGCGGGGCGGGCCTGGACCCGGACGTGGGCCGTTGCAGGGGCGCCAGGGCGCTAGGGCCTTGTTGGCATTCCCTGGAGGTTGTGGGTTACAAGGCCCGGATGTTGATCTTTTATTCCTAGCAACACCGCACCCCTGACTCTTGCCCACGCGGCCGTCTTGAGGGCGGCCGCACGGCCTGCTGGGAACGGCGGGGTTGCCGGAGTGCTCTCCGTCGGACCCATCGGGGATCCTCTTCCAGGCGCCTGATTTGCTGGGGATAGGCGATACAGGCAAATGCTGTCCAGTAGGTGGCCTCTCCAGAGCCAGGGGCACTCCTGGTGCGTTTGGGCCGGCCTGCCCTGAACAAATCCTCTTCGGGCTTCAACGACCCCTAATGTTTCTGGCCTCAATTGCCTCATCTGGAAAATGGGGGCATTACCGTGCTTGGTTGAAGACAAGGGTGAAAACAGGTAACTTTCTGTGGTCCTCGTACAAGTTACTGAGGACTGTAGGCCAGGCAATGGAGTAGGCACCCTGGGCTCAAATCCCAGCTTTGGGTAAGCCCAGCCAGGCCTCCTGCTCCAGTTTCCAAGCTACTGAGCTGCGGGGTAAACAGTAACTGGCTTCAAGCTAACACCTGCCTTTCAACCTAACATGGGAGCCCACTGCCTCGTTCCGCCTACCGATTTTCCAACTCCGTGAACCTCCTTCACTACGTGGGTTATTCAGCTGACAATGTCATCTCGCTCCCGGTGCGGGCTCACTCATCCTCGACTTCTGGCTCAGAGGAGCCGGTCTAATATGAAACTAAACACCTAAGCTGTGTCTCCTGTCCTCTCATTCTTCTGAGACCCTACCCACCAACTTATCTCCACAGTTCAACGAACTATTGAGCATACACTGGGGGAGTATGGTGAGGCACTAAGCTTTGATTCACCAGTCTCGCCGCTGGTTCCTTCTGAAACTCTACATATGCTTAATGCTAAATAGATTGGAGCCCTTTGGGGACAGAGTTATAATGGTAATAATCTTTGCCTTCCTGAGCCTAGAATAGGGCCTGTAATGGAGACTTACTGAGTAAAAACCGTTTACACTGGAGAATTGACAGCATGGACCGTGGAGTCAGGCAGGTGTGTTTAAAGCCTTGGCTCTCCATACTGGAAGCTCCATTACCTGGCCAAGTCATTCATTCTTTACAACATCTTCATCATTATCATCTACCATTTTTCGAGTGCCAGATAGTTGACAAAGGTCTTTACATATTCTCTCCCCATCACAATCCTGCAAGGTTGGTATTTGAAACCCCTTGTCTACAAAGAAGTAAACAAAAGCTAATTAAAGTAGAACAATTTGCCTATAATCAAACAGCTCTATGTCGGAAAGCCAGATTTAAATGTAGGGCACAATACAAAAATCCAAACTCGTTCCATTATTCCACATCGCTTCCAGATTTTAGCTTCATCTGTAAAATTAGTGTTACTACATAACCTATCTGATAGACCATGGAGACTGAATAAAACAGCATTAAAAGTTGTTACCATAGGAACTTTTTTTTACATAAGTTCTCTCTCCCTTTCAAGCCTCTCAAAATAGCAGTTTGTGTATTTTCTAAATCTATTGTCTCCTGAATCCCCTGAAATCAATCCTACTGATTGATGAGTGGATTTAGTTGTTCCAAAAGAAAATCACCATATTTAACAAATGCTGACTCTGACCCACACTGGGTCCTAGAGCAAGAAACTATTTGCGCAAATAACCTAAGGACAGAAGGAAGATGCATAAAATGAATAGGGGAAAGGAGTGGGCAACTAGCAAGTGCCTTCGTCTGTCATCATGTCACTCTCATAGCAGACTTGTGCAAATGGTTGACCTGTGGGAGCTGTAAAAAATCTTGACTCTGGATATGAGTAATTCCCCATCTGATCTTACAGTACCCAAGGAAGTAGTCAGTAGCTCCAGGATCGCTGAGACCAACCTGGGCTGCCTACAAGATTGTGCTGTGGTGACAGGCTGAATAGTCAGCAGCAAGACGACAGAGCACCAAAAAGCACAGACTAGAATGGGATCAGCAGTCCAGGTGGCTGGTGGCTACTGCCTTTGTCGATGCAGATAAAGAACATTTTCATTCCCGCAGAGTTCAATGGGGCAGTGCTGCTCTAGAGGCTGACGTTTCCATCCTCAGCACTTCCCCCTGCTATTACCTACATTCATTCTGCTACTTCCACAAGGCAAGAATGAACAGGATGCCTTAGAGCAATGGTCAGCAAACTGTTTATGTAAAGGGGCAGGGCTAGGCATGGTGGCTCAAGCCTGTAATCCCAGCACTTTGAGAGGCCAAGGTGGATGGATCACGAGGTCAGGAGTTCGAGACCAACCTGGCCAACATGGTGAAACCTCGTCTCTACTACAAATACCAAAATTATCTGGGTGTTGTGGCAGGTGCCTGTAATCCCAGCTACTTGGGAGGCTAAGGCAGGAGCATCGCCTGAAGCCGAGAAACAGAGGTTGCAGTGAGCTGAGATCATATGACTGCACTCCAGCCTAGGTGACAGAGCAAGACTCTGTCTCAAAAAAATAAATAAAATAAAAGGGTCAGATAGAAAACGTCTGAGGCTCTGTGAGCCATCCGGTCTCTGTCATAATTACTCAACTCTTACATTGGAGGTAGGGTGAAAGCAGCAATAGAAAGTAAGTAAATGAATGAGTATAGTTGTGTTCCAATAATACTTTATTAGCAAAATCCGACAGTGGGTTTGGGGGAGGGCATAGTTTGCCAAACTAAAATAAAAATGTATTAAAGATTTAAATGTGGCCAAGCATGGTGGCTCACGACTGTAATCCCAGCACTTTGGGAAGCAGAGGCGGGTGGATCACAAGGTCAGGAGGTCGAGACCATCCTGGCCAACATGGTAAAACCCTGTCTCTACTAAAAATACAAAAATGAGCCAGGCGTGGTAGCACATGCCTGTAGGCTAGGGTAGTCTCGAACTTCTGACCTTAATTGATCCACCTGCCTTGGCCTCCCAAAGTGCTAGAGTTACGGGTGTGAGCCACCATGCCCAGCTGAGATCTGATGGTTTCATACATGTTTGACAGTTGCTCCTTCACATGCTCACACTCTCTGTGTGGCCGCCATGTTAGTCAGACCTGGTTCCCCTTCTGCCATGATTGTACGTTTCCTAAGGCCTCCCCAGCCATGCAAAACTGTGAGTCAATTAAACCTCTTTCCTTTATAAGTTACCCAACCTCAGGTATTTCTTTATATCAGTGTGAAAACAAACTAATATACTTTCTGATAACCATGCTTGAGGAATTGGGGAATTCAGACTACCTGGGATCAAATTGTGGCCCCACCCTTAGCAGTCATGTGACCTTGGGGAGGTTACTTACCTTCTCCATCTCCACTTCTTCTGTAAAATCTGTAAATGAGATTGTTTCTGAGGGTTAAATGAGCATAGCACAGTGGGGACACTGTCAGGTGCACACTGCTTGCCAGATGTCAAGTATTCATCTTTATTGAATTAGGACTGTGGTAACCCACTTTATGGCTCTCGATTTTGTATGATAAAATCATGCTTAGTGCTTTGTTAGTAAAAGAAGGAAAATCTGAAAGTCCCTGCCATGGAAGGAAGAAATAGTGGGGAGAAAAGGGAGTTGGTAAGTTTGAGCATTTCAGAGCATGGAGGGACAAGTTAGGTTTCTATTTTATGGAGAAGGAGGTGGAGGCAGGATGGGTCCTAAGGTGTCATTCAAGACACACAGCCATAACTCTTTATTGAGAATAGTGCTAGGGCCCCAGGGATTGCTGTGGTCAAGTTGTAGACAAAAATGACTACTCATTGGAAGATAGGAGAGGAGTGTTTTGTTACAAAAGCAGTCAGCAATTCAGGTGTATCTATATTCAGTCAGCAAATAAAAGTCATTCAACTTGGTTGCTAATGCGATCCACTCTACTGAGGCTTTGTGTAGAACTCACAGAGGAAGATGGCTTCAAGTAACGAACTACCCTGTGCTTTTCTTAGGACTAAAAAGCTCAGGAAGCTGGTGATGAATGAAAACCTTAGTCCACCTGGCACTGCAGGAGGGGCCAGGAGAGCAGCAGCATCATAAGCCACAGGGTGGGGCAGCCCAGGCAGGGGCATTCTGAGCTGTTGGGGAGGGGTGGCAGCCAGGATGGAGCACTGTGAGCTGTCGGGGAGGGCAATGTGAAGTGTGGGGTGGGGCATGGTGTGCCACATGCCTGTGCTCCCACCTGGGCTAGTGGACTTCAGTCTGTAGGTGACTACAGAAGGAGGAGGAGCTCTGTCTGTTCTCTCTTCAGGCAGTTGTGTCTCTCAGCGCTTGTTGGGTTCACAAGCAATTTAATAAGCTGGCTGGTCTTCACCCTCCCAGACAAGTCACTCAGGGGAGGCGGCCAGGTGCAGGCCTTGGCCTGCAGCCCTAGCCAGGGCCCAGGACCGGGCTGTGAGGTGGGCAGGCGAGCAGTGGGCAAGACCATCTCTGCAAGTGCAGCATAGCCTCAGCCTAGGGCAGCAGGAGTGCAAGGCCAAAGCTGTGAGCAGAGGCACAGGTGGTGGCAGACAGTAGAGGCGTCCCGTGGGGAACATACTGACCTGTTGTGTGTGACCCAGGGTCAGCCCCGAGTTTGACCAGCAACAGTGGTCAGTGTGTCCCTCTGAGTCCAAGATCTATGAGGCAGGAGCTGGGGACAGGATGACAGGAGCTGGGGACAGGATGGCAGGAGCTGGGGACAGGATGGCAGGAGTGCCCATGGCTGCTGCTGTGCAGCCTGCTGAGGTGACTGTTGAAGTTGGTGAGGACCTCCACATGCACCACATCCATGACCGGGAGATGCCTGAAGGTAAGGAGGTGACGGGTGCCACCTGCCCTCGGCTTGCCTCTGGCTGCTGCTGCCCCCAAGGTCCCCTGGGAGGCATTGCCCATTTCGAGCTCCTTTCTGCCTGTAGCCAGCTTTCCCGGGGCTGGCGAGGAACAAGAGCTGGCTCTGCCTTGCATTCCCACCCCTTAGTCTTTCCCCACCGAGTCCAGTCAGTTTCTTTTCGCCTCCCCTCCCAATCGCCCAGTTCTTGCTCTCTCATCTCATTCTGCCAGGCTGGCATGGGACCATTTATTTGTGACTCTTCTTGTCAAATAAGCAGCAAATAAATGAGTTGATAAATTTTTATAAATGGTTACATCTTTTTTTGCTTTTCTCCCTCTATACGTATAGCTTTGGAGTTTAACCCTTCTGCCAATCCAGAGGCAAGCACAATATGCCACAGGAACTGTCAAACAGATGGTGAGGCAACATTGTCTGTGTGTCTGTGTATTATGCTGTGGGACTTTGTGGAGGCTTCTTTGGACCATTCTCTTCCTTTCCTCAATAAAAACTCAAATATCCCAACTTTCCAGCACCCATCTTATTTTTTCTTTGTACCTGTCCACATGGTACCTAAGTGAAGGAACCAGGTAAGTGCCTAATTGTTTCCTTTGTTAAAGTAGGTAAATCTCAGGACAGTTCATATTCAGATATTCGGGGATTTCTTACTTAAAATCAGAATGGAGGTGGCCATGGGAAAGGCTATATGGTATTCTTAATGGGCTGCTGTAAGTCACCTTGATAGAAGCTGCTTGGTTTCTTCTAACTGTAATTTGAACACAGAAGGAAATAAAAGAAAAAAAGGGTGCTTAAAATAATTGTGAAAGGTGTGAAATGTCACGGCCAGGGCTGCAGAAAAAGGTTGTGTGTCTGTGTGTTTGGGATTTCTCAAAGGACTTTACCTATGAGGCTCTGATTACTCTAAAACTTTTAATTTAACACAAAATGTGTTTCCAGATTTATTCTGGTGATTTAACAGACTTTATTCACCTCCTTGTTCTAAAAGAGAGGTAGAGATTGGTTCATGATCAAAACTTTCAAAATACATGAAACGTCAATGTAGACTTTTAATGTGTAATATAAAGATTGCAGGTTAAAATGTCAGACCTTCCCTGTAAGAGTGTTTGTTGCTGAGGCTCCCCCTTTGTCCTTTCCCCTCCTGACAATAGCATCTTGTTCAAAGATAAGAAAGTTGGAGTTTTGACCGGGCATGGTGGCTCACGCCTGTAATTCCAGCACTTTGGGAGGCCAAGGCGGGCAGATCACCTGAGGTCAGGTGTTCGAGACCAGCCTGGCTAACATGGTGAAACCCCGTCTGTACTAGAAAAAAGTACAAAAATTAGCTGGGTGTGGTGGTGCATGCCTGTAGTTCCAGCTACTCGAGAGGCTGAGGCAGGAGAATTGCTTGAACCCAGGAGGCAGAGGTTGCAGTGAGCAGAGAGCACCAATGCACTCCAGCCTGGGTGACAGAGTGAGACCCCATCTCAAAAAAAAAAAATAAAAAATAAAAAGAGAAAGAAAAGAAAAAGAGAGAAAGAAAGTTGGAATTTTTTAGTCTCTATACTGCTGGGAGAGGCGGGGGATGGGAGGTGGTAGAAAAGAGAAAACAATTAGTTGGTTTGCCTCTAAAATTTTGCAAAAAGGTGAATCTAAGTAAAGGTAATTCTGGGTAATAATATGGTTCATGAATAAAAACTAAAATTTTCAAAATAGAAAACATTGCATCATAAAGATATTAAATCCAGTTGGCTTATTGGTTTCATTTAAATGCCAGAGATTTCATTGCTGTAGAAGAAATGTCTTATAGCTCTTCTATTTAAACTTTGGTTGGGCTCCTAATTTTTTAAGAGGTAGGATATTTAAGACTCATGATGAGTGTGACTTTGTAACTTGGAAGCACTATCCTCACTTTTCAAGATATTTAAGGATTGCTTTAGAATAAACAAATATATTAAGTGAATTAATTGATTATACCTTTATACACAAACTGTGTAAGTATTTGTGTAAACTTATACTCTGCTTGGTGATGTAAGGAAAGTCTCTGAGTGATGTTACACACCAGCTAGTAGATGGGTAGTGTTGGATGGGAGCCCAAAAATGGCTCTTTATTGTCATTCTTTAGGATTACAGCACAGTTTATGTATGTCTCACTTGGCCCTTTCCAATACAAATAAGGCCTGGGTATGTTCTCCCTATGTATTGTTAATGAAGAAGTGAAGACGTAGAGATATCACATGACTATGGAAGACATCTACTTAACAGAACTAAGGTTCTATGTCCTCAGAATGACATGGAAGTGACAGATATGCTGTATTTACTTTTTTAAAATTTAAAAAACTCTAGAATACATCTATATTTTGCCTATAAAATAGACCTGTCTTTTAAAACTTACTGCCATCTTGATTTATTTTATGCAAAGTGGATTTTATACAACTCAAAACCAATATTTACCTCTTCATATTTTTTTTTTTTAAATAAAGGAAGGTGTCACTATGTTACTCATGCTGGCCTCAAATTCCTGACCTGGGTTCAAGTGATTTTCCCATCTCAGCCTCCTGAGTAGCTGGGACTACAAGCATGTGCCATCTTGCCTTGCTCTATCTTATGTCCATACATTCATTTCAATGGATAAGAATAAAAGTAGAGGTAGTGAAACAGCCTAAATGCAGCAGTTGAATAAACAAATTGATAAATTTTTATAAATGATTACATCTTTTTTTCTTTTCTCCCTCTATACATATAGCTTTGGAGTTTAACCCTCCTGCCAATCCAGAGGCAAGCACAATATTCCAGAGAAACTCTCAAAAGGATGGTGAGACAACATTGTTTTTTCTACCAAGAGAAATAATAAAAACTCTTGTTTGATTAGGTTATAGAAAGTATTTAGAAAAACTCAAATTGGTTTAAGTTTTTCACCTTTTCACATGTTCACTTGTCTTATTTTAACATGTAATATACTTTCCTTTAGTTGTTATTGTTTTAGTGAAAACATGTAAACTGTTTGTTTATACATTTTGCCATCTTTTTATCAACACAATTAATTTGTCATGTGATGGAGGAGTCATGGACTTCTTTATTTATACTTCTTGGATTTATCTTTATTTATAATTCTTGGATTTCTTTTTATTTATAATTCCTCTTCCCTTACTCGAAACAGTACGTTTTAAAGATGAATGATAGAACTTAGGCTTCAGCTTGGTTTTCATTTAAACAAATTAAAAACATAGTTGTTTATCATCGGGGATTGAATCTGTGATTTGGGCCTCCTCTCACACAGTCCTCTGACCGCATTCATTTACCACATCCAAGTTCATACTACTCAAAACTTTTAAGTTTTTAACCTTTTCATTTGATGTAATGTAAATTTAAACATGCCCTACTCCTGCTTATTTTCCTTAATGTTATGCTAAATCCTCATTTGTTTGCTAAAAAGCCATACACAGCCAAGTTTTCCAGTTGACTTAAATAGCAAGAATACAAGTGAGGGTTCTATAATAATATGTGAAGTAATGCAGCACAGTAAAACATGGGAGTTTGTAACCTTTGTTTTTATAGTTTGAGTAGACTTTGCCCAACTTGAATCAGTTATTTCTGGTTAGAACTTGTGTTCATTTTTTACATTACTGTAAAGAGATACCTAAGGCTGGGTAATTTATAACAAAAAGAGGTTTAATTGGCTCATAGATCTTCAGGCTGTACAAACATGGCTTCAACATCTGCTTCTGGTGAGGGCCGCAGCAAGCTTACAATCATGATAGAAGGCAAAAGGGAAGCAGGTGGTTCCACATGGTGAAAGAGGAAGGAGGGGAAGGGGGAAGGTACCACATTCTTTTTTCTTTCTTTTTTTTTAAAATGGAGCCTCGCTCTGTTGCCCAGGCTGGAGTGCAATGGCGTGATCTCTGCTCACTACAACCTCCACCTCCTAGATTCAAGCGATTCTCCTGCCTTAGCCTCCCGAGTAGTTGAGACTATAGGCAGGTGCCACAACACCTGGCTAATTTTTGTATTTTTGGTAGAGACCAAAAAAAAATTTTTTTTCTTAGTTGTAGAAATGAGAAGAAGCAACTGTACAAACCATGTTAGTAAACAGCTAGTTAAGAAATTGATAGTTTGACATAAAAGCATGTCTCTCTTGATTTTTTTTAAATTACAATATGTACCCAGTCGTGGTAGCATGGAGCTCTTTTTGTGGATTTTCTAAATCTCTTCTATTTTCCTAAGTAATTTATCCAGAAAAATTTTTAGCTTAGTGTGTCCACCTTTTAAGGATTTCTGACATTTAAATTGAATTTCAATAGTCTGGTTGTGGTAAAAAGATCTGCCTTAAGGCTGGGCGTGGTGGCTCACACCTGTAATCCCAGCACTTTAGGAGGCCCAGGTGGGCGGATCATCTGAGGTCAGGAGTTCGAGACAACCCTGACCAACATAGTGGAATTCTGTCTCTACTAAAAATAGAAAATTAGCCGGGCGCTGTGGCGCATGCCTGGAATCTCAGCTACTCAGGAGGCTGAGGCAGGAGAATCACTTGAACCCGGCAGGCGGAGGTTGCAGCGAGCTGAGATCACACCATTGCACTCCAGCCTGGGCAACAGAGCGAAACTCTGCCTCAAAACAAAACAAAACAAAACAAAAAAACAAAAAACAAAGAGATCTGCCTTAAATATTGAATCTTATTTTTAATGAAATAACAAAAATAGAATAGCTAAGTTAATTGCCAGCACTGTCTACTGACTTTCTATCACAGCAGGTAAAAGCATACCTTTCTTGCTACACCATGATCTTATGTTCCTCCCTCTGTTTCTTCCAATAGTAGCACACTTCTTCATTAAATCAGTAATATTTACATGATTATGACTCTGCAAATATTATTCACTGCTAAGTCATATGGTGTTTTCATTGTGCCTCTGCATTACATATTCTTCATCCTGTCTCTGAAACAGTTCTGAAATCTGAGCAATTCTGCAATTCTCCTGGATCTTCTCTTTTTTCCTAGCCGATGTTAGTTTATCCATCCAAATATAGTAAGTAGCCTCTGGGTGGTCTGTTTGCTTTCACATCCATTATTTTTCATCATGAAGCTAATTTTCTGACTATATTCATTTGCTTATTTTCTAACAGTTGCTTTTCCTCCAAGTGTTGTAGCATTTATCACATGCCTTTCAAAGATATTTTGCATCTGCAAAAACACATCTGTTCCTTTTGTGTGTGTGTTGTGGGGGGCAACCTTCTTTGGCCTTTTGTCATCCTAGTTCAATATCGAGTGGCTTTCCCTAGATATGCTCGATGTCTGCTTTTCTGTGCTATTTCCTTAAAGTCTTTTGGGATCTCACATAACTGCTGTCTTGTGTGGGATCGCCTGAGTCCTAGATTCTGTGTTTCCTTCTGTCCTGTTATCCTCTCTAGTTGTACTTGAACACACTTTCCTGGGTGGAGATGTTTAGAGAGCTGGCCAGTCTTAAAATCCCTCCTCTTTGATAGAGAGGAAACCTCTAGGTTGAATCTAAATTTTATGATTCTAAAGACATTTTGCAGTTGTGCTCTCATTACAGTGTTGTTCTTGAATCTATTACCAGTGTGTGATACACAGTTTACAACCAGGTTTTAGGTATCTGTGGAAACTTTTTTTTTTTTTTTTTTTTTTGAGAAGAGTTTTACTCTTATTGCACAGGCTGGAGTGCAATGGTGCAATCTTGGCTCACTGCAACCTCCACCTCCTGGGTTCAAGTGATTCTCCTGTCTCAACCTCCCAAGTAGCTGGGAGAACAGTCGTGCACCACCATGCCTGGCTAATTTTTGTATTTGTAGTAGAGATGGGGTTTCACCATGTTGGCCAGGCTGGTCTCGAACTCCTGATCTCAAGTGATCCACCCACCTCGGCCTCCCAAAGTGCTGGGATTACAGGCGTGAGCCACCACGCCTGGCCCGAAACATTTTAGGATTTTTCTCTCTCTCTGAAGTTCTGAAATTTTATAATAACAGCTTGCCGGGGATCTTTTCATTGAGGCTACTAAACCTGAGACTATCTCTTCTTGAGAATTTTTTTTTTTTATTTTCTCTGTTACTTTTTTACTGATAGTCTTGTTTTTCAGATGCTAGGCTGCTTAGACCAGTACACCTGCATTTGTTTTTTATTTTTCCCCTTCTTTTTCTTTCAGTTTGTCCTTTTATTCTAGTTCTGGGATATTCTGTGACTTTATCCTCTACTATTTCTGTTGAATTTTATATTTTTGAGAGTGTTTTAAGATTTTTTTGTTAAGTTTTGCTCCTGGTTTTGACTGCTCCCATGAATTCCTTTTTTCTGTTGTTTTGATTTCTGTTGTTGGAGGCTTCCCTCCAATGTGTGGTGGTCCCCGGCCTGCTTTATTTGGAAGCAGGACTTCTGTTAGCTGATAGCACTCACTGTGAGGTTTTGGAAGCCAAACTAGCTTTTCATTTGGGGGACTTCAGTGTATTATCTGGGGATCTTTATTCGAGACATTTCAGTTTCTTCTGAGAAGGATCTCCCAATTTTCTGCCTGGGAAGTAAAAGCATGGCCACTTGCTTTCCAAAAGCAGAGTTAGCGAAGGAAGTTGGAGTTCCATTTTTGGTATACAGTTTTCTTTATATCTCAGGTTTAAGCCATGGTATCTCTGAGCCAGGAATTCTCAGGTTTGATATATCCAGAGAACACACATCTAAGTTTCTTGTCAGATGGAAGGACAGGTAGACTCGGGCCTCTGGTTAGAGATTTTCAACTGACCTTGCTGGCTTTTGTTTTACATTTTACCCTACTTTCCAAAGTGCCATTTGCCCGTAAGTTCACAACCTGCCTTTAGTTCTGCAAGACAAACTGGCTCACTTCTGTTCCAGTCACTTTCTGTAGGCACCAAAGTTGCGCTTCCATGTTATTTACCACTCCTTTATCTACTTTTTATGTCTCAGCATTTATTAAAAATTATCTCTGTCAACCTTCTCTCCTGGTCATGTGTGTAACCTTTATTTTATGATTAATGAGACTTCCGGAGGGAGAAGAAATAAATTTGTGGTCTATCTATTATGTTTAATCCAAATTTAGGACCTATGTTTAAATCAAAGTCTAATTTGAGTATAATTAATGACATTAATCCAGATAATTTTTTAAAATTAATGTATCTATAATAAGAATATTTCCCTTTTCTTCTAAGGCCTTGTTTGACATTTTCATTCAAACTTTATCCACTGCCATCTACTTCCCATTACTTCACAATAGATGGAGCTGTTTTCATGAATGCCCAAAGTGTTAGAAATATTTAAGTTAATTAAGATTTGTTCATTTTTGGCCTGGTCAACGTAGTAAGTTTAAATAACAAATTAGCCATGCCTGGTGGCATGTGCCTTTCATTTAACCTACTCAGGAGGCTGAGACAGAGGATCACTTGAGCTCAGGAGTTTGCAGCTGCTGTTAACCATAATTGCACCACTGCACTCCAGCCTGGGCAACACAGGGAGACCCTGTCGCAGAAAAAGGAAAAAAGTTATTAATTCTTTAAAAATATATCTAAAATTTGTCCTGCCCAAAATGAGAGCAAAAAATGTAAACTTTAGTCTTTGTTTTATGTTTGCTGAGAAAAATGCTGTATATTATTTATTTATTTATTATTTCCATAGGTTTTTGGGGGAACAGGTAGTATTTGGTTACATGACTAAGTTCTTCAGTGATGATTTGTGAGATTTTGGTGCACACATCACCTGAGCAGTATCCACTGAACCCAATTTGTAGTATTTTATCCCTCACCCTCCTCCCAGCCTTTCCAGAGTCCCCAAGTCCATTGTATCAGTCTTATGCCTTTGCATCCTTATAACTTAGCTCCCACGTATGAATGAGAACATATGATGTTTAGTTCTCCATGCCTGAGTTACTTCACTTCGAATAATAGTCTTTACTTCCATCCAGGTTGCTGGGAATGCCATTAGTTTATTTCTTATTGTGGCTGTGTGATATTCCTCATGTGTATATGTGTATGTATATCACAGTTTCTTTATCCACTCCTTAATTGATGGGCATTTGGGCTGGTTCCATATTTTTGTAATTGTAATTTGTAAATTGCAATTTGTTTGAGTTCCTCATAGATTCTGGATAATAGCCCCTTGTCAGCTGTATAGACTGTGAAGATTCCCTCCCACTCTGTGGGGTGTCTGCTTACTCTGCTGATTGTTCCTTTCCCTGTGCAGAAGCTCTTTAGTTAAGTCTCACCTGTTTGTTTTGTTGCATTTGCTTTTGTGTTCTTGGTCATGAAGTCTTTGCCTAAGCCAGTGTCTAGACAGGTTTTTCCAATGTTACCTTCTAGAATTTTTATGGTTTCAGGTCATAGATTTATGTCCTTGATCCATCTTGAGTTGATTTTTGTGTAAGGTGAGAGTTGAGGATCCAGTTTCATTCTCCTGCATGTGGCTTGCCAATTATCCCAGCACCATTTGTTGAATAGGGTTCACTTTCTTCACCTTGTGTTTTAGTTGGCTTTGTTGAAAATTAGTTGGCTATAGGTATTTGAGTTTATTTCTGGGTTCTCTATTCTGTTCCATTGGTGTAGATGCCTATTTTTATACCACTACCACGCTGTTTTGGTGACTATGGCCTTATAGTGTGGTTTGAAATCAGGTAATGTGATGCCTCCAGATTTGTTGTTGTTGCTTATATTTGTTTTCGCTACGTGGGTTCTTGTTTGGTCCCATATGAATTTTAGGATTGTTTTTTCTACTTCTGTGAAGAAGAATGGTGGTATTTTGATGGGAATTACATTGAATTTGTAGATTGCTTTTGGCAGTATGGTCATTTTCGTGATATTCATTCTACCCTTTCATGAGCATCGGCTGTCTTTCCATTTGTTTATGTCCATGATTTCATTCAGCAATGTTTTGTAGTTCCCAATGGCATATCAAAATGATGTTCCAGAGGGCGCAGTGGCTCACGCCTGTAATCCCAACACTTTGGGAGGCCAAGGCAGGTGGATCACGAGGTCAGGGGTTGAGACCAGCCTGGTCAACATGGTGAAACCTCGTCTCTACTAAAAATACAAAAATTAGCCAGGCGTGGTGGCATGTGCTTGTAATCCCATCTACTCAGGAGGCTGAGGCAGGAGAATCACTTGAACCTGGGAGGCAGAGGTTGCAGTGAGCCAAGATCGCCCCACTGCACACTCCAGCCTGGGTGACAGAGCGAGACTCCATCTCAAAAAAAAAAAAAAAAAGATACTCCACCATAATCAAATGGGTTTCGTACTAATGATGCAGGGATGGGTTAACATACACAAGTCAATAAATGTGATACACCACATGAACAGAATTGAAAACAAAAAATATTACATGATCATCTTAATAGATGTGGAAAAGACATTTGACAAAATGCAGCATCCTTTTATGATTAAAACCCTCAGCAAAATCGGCATACAAAGGTTATACCTCAATGTAATAAAAGCCATCTATGACAAACCCACAACCAACATAATATCAAATGGGGAAAAGTTGAAAGCACTCCCCCTGAGAACCGGAACAAGACAAGGATGCCCACTCTCACCACTTCTATTCAACATAGTACTAGAAGACCCAGCCAGAGCAATCACATGAGAGAAAGCAATAAAAGGCATCCTGATCGGTAAAGAGGAAGTCAAACTGTTGCTGTTTGCTGATTATATGATCGTATACCTAGGAAACCCTAAAGACTCCTCCCAAAAGCTCCTAGAACTGATAAATGAGTTCAGCAAAGTTTCAGGAGACAAAATTAATGTACACAAATCAGTAGCTCTATTATACCCCAACAGAGACCAAGCTTAGAATCAAACCAATAACTCAACCCCTTTTACGATAACTGCAAAAATAAAATAAAATAAAATACTTAGAAATAGACATAATCAAGGAGATAAAAGACCTCTACCAGGAAAACTTTAGTATTTTTAATGGGTTAAAATGAGAGGCAGCAGGTACAGCAGAAGAAGTCAGTGGGTGGGCATTGGTGTCCAATGGGCACTGGACCTTTGGTGGTAAAGCTTTGGTTTTGACTTACTAAATTACTAGGTACAATTATTTTCTAGTTTTTGTTATTAAATCTTAAATCTACTAAGTAATCCCTTCCCTTTCTTGTTAAAGATCATAAAATTTCATACTCTGATTTCTTCTGACTGACGTTAGATTATTTGTTTCCATTTTGTGACTACCTTAAATAATACCTATAAACAGTAAACTGTTAGTAGTGTTTTTGCTGTAGTTAAATGTAGTAAAACTTATCCTCCAAATTATAACTGAATTGTCAAACACTTGCGAAGTTTTGGGTTTACTCAGAATTCTATGCTCAGCAGCTGGAGGTAGCAAGAATAAGGGCCCTCCCTTACTCTTATGGAGAGGGATACTCTCTCATGAGGGGGATACGCTGCAAGAATTAGTATCTTGTAAGCAGTGGTGAATTTGACTAATTAGTGTACAAAAAAAAAAAAACATTTTTTGGTGTGGCTACTGACAAAGAGATCCAAGAGGGTAGATGGAGTCGAGCTTTTGCTGAAGCAAGGAAAGAGAAAAGCAGTATTCTAGGCAGAGAGCAGGGGTGAGCAGGAAAATGGCTAGGTGCAGGTCAGATGACTTATAGAATGAAATTGATCAAGTTTTGAAATGAATGGAAAGTATTCTCTGAGAGTCTCATTTGAGTCGTGTCATGGCAGTCTTATTTAAACATGAAGTGAAAGTTAAATTTTTTAAGTTGTCATGTGTTTTCAGGGTGTGAGAGAATATTTAAGTGATACTCTTTTTATCCTCCACTTAAGAAAATAGGACTAGAGAAACCTATGGCTTCCTCACTTGTTGGTGGCCTAGCAGCCCTGACACACAGAGCCTCTGAATCTGAAACACTTGTTTTGTCACAATATCACCTGAAATAATACATTTAGGATGAGTAATTTAGTAAATGCATTAGTCTTGTACTCACTGCAATAAAATGCTCTTGTACCAGTATTATTTAATACATAACATTTTACTGTAGTAAATAAATCATAGAAATAGAAAGTCTCAGCTGCTTTATATTGCTGTAAAAAAAATGAAATCTTATTTTAAACTTTTCTCATGATTTTTAAAGGGAATTCATAAAATCCTTGTTAGGTTTGATGACAGGTACCATATGAAGGGCAGCATTTTATAACCCGTATCTTAAACATCGTCTCTGGAAGTTAAGAGCCTCCAATGGGTTTTCTGTAGAGTGCACATGATATCGCACTCAGGCAGTTCATGGAGTGTAAGAAATATCTTAGTGCTTTGTCATTTCACATTTTAACCAAGAAAAAAATACACTTTGATAAGTTTAACTTACACTTCCCTTCCCTTTCAGGGATCTACTGTGCGTTTCAGTCAACAATACAGCTCATGTTTGACAATATTCCTTGAAGACAGCACAGCCAGCCAGCCTTATCTTACAATGACAATAATATCGTGAGTACAACTATACTGTCAAGGGATAGATCCCTTTATTCTAAAATTATTTCAGCCATTTGTTTTTCCTCTCCAGCAATCAGTTTAAGAAACTGGAGTCAACTATGTATTGGTATCCAGATTCTAAATATTAATATCAATTTCTCTTTTAATCTTAGATGTCATGGTGGAAGGAAAAAATCAGCAAAGAAGCAATCCCAGAAAAAGGGTATTTTTTTGATGCCTTTATGCCTTAAGACAATGTTGAATGCAGTGAGAAGAATGGGTTCCCTTTATTGAATGTTTTTCAAGAAAACTTAGTCGTTCAGTGCATTATAGGCCTAAATCAATGTGTACTACTTTGGACAGTAGCCTTGGAAGAAGGAACAGCTTTTTCTCTTCTGGCACCACAGTGTATCTGCATTTGCATTTCTCCCATTGTGCATGAGCACCTCATGGGCCACAAAGATGCGCTTTGAGAGCACCCTGAGATGAAGTTTATTTTAAAAGGAACAACAACCAACACCAACACCACCTCCATAAGGGCTTTCCAGTGTACATTATTATCATCTCTTTGGGTTATGAGTGTTGATTTTTAGAACACAGTTTGGAAAGTACTAATTTAGAACATTAATGTCTTTATCTTTAATTTTACTTTTCATTCTATAAACATACCTAGCTTATACACAATTTTGTTTCAAATACACTAGCCTTTTTAGCTAATTCAATTGTCAGTAACTTTTACTTTAATTAAAAATGGCAAGCTTACACTCGTAATAATGTCACTTTCCTTCCCCCATTTTAACAGTAGTTGAGATGAAATTCTGGTTCAGCAAAAACTGGACTCAAACTCTGTCTCAAGTCCTGAGCTTTGGAACCTATTGAGTAATCACTAAATGTCTGTAGTCAGCCAAGTCTCTGAAATCTTTGAGCGCACATACACAAAAGCTACTTTGACTAGAGTCCCTGGGCTTCTTTGAGTTCAAAAGCTTTTGATGTGTTAGCATACAATTCAAAAGTAGCTTTGAAGATTAATCTTGCCCAAACAAATTTCATGCTTTTTTCCTCATTATTCTACTTTTTGGAAGTCTACTTCTGAAAGTAAAGTAAGTTTTAATTTGCCATCAGCAAGTTTGAGAAATGATCATTTGGTATATTCACTATTGATGAAATAAAGGTTTATTGAGCAAATTAATAGGACAAATTAGTTTCAAGAAAAGATTTTGATAAATGTTTATCATGAGTCAGTAGTGCAGTGTTGTCAATGGGGTAGGTGGAACTCACTGAGATCACTTATGCAAGGTTTTTTTTTTTTTTCAAAATACAGCTCTGCAAACACATGCATCTTCCCATCTCCACTTTCCCTCTATCTCTAGGCACTGAGAAGCCTTTTAGGAAAATAGAGATGCATGTGAGACATCTTTATGTGAAGAAAGGCATCCCAGAAGATTCTGATTTTCACCCCAGCTCAATCATTCCAAACTTTGCTGCACATTGAAATCACTTGGGAAACTTTTACCAACAACCTTGATGACCAAAGTCATATCCAATACTAATTAAATTAAAATGTCTCATGTTGAAGATGAGGCCGTTATTAAAGCTTCTCAGGTGATTTTAACTTGCAGCAAAGTTTGAGAGCCACTGCTTCATTTGAGTTTAGGACGAGAAACTGCTCCTATTTGGTGGGACCTTGGGCAAGTCAGTTTTAAGGTTTGTTTCCCTGATCTGTAAAATGAGTGTTGAATTAAATGTCGTGTAAGGTCATTGGTCCTTTCCAGCATGTAACTTTAAATTCTGTGATTTTAAAATTATTTCAGAGATGAAAACTACTTGAAGCACTATAGACATATCCATCTTACATGCTAATGTTACAGGCTTTTTTTTTTTTTTTTTTTTGAGACAGAGTCTTGCTCTGTCGCCCAGGCTGGGGTGCAGTGGCCGGATCTCAGCTCACTGCAAGCTCCGCCTCCCGGGTTTAGACCATTCTCCTGCCTCAGCCTCCCGAGTAGCTGGGACTACAGGCGCCCGGGCGAGGCTTTTTAAAAAGTGCTAATATTGTATAGACCTATTAACTGAAATTGAGATTTGCCCTCCCTCAGTTGTTTTGAGCCTCGTTCTACAAAATTAGCTCGGTGTGGTGGTGCACGCCTGTAATCCCAGCTACTCAGGAGGCTGAGGCAGGAGAATCGCTTGAACTCAGGAAGCAGAGGTTGTGGTGAGCCAAGATCGCACCATTGCACTCCAGCCTGGGCAACAAGAGTGAAACTCCATCTCAAAAAAAAAAACAAAAAAAAACAAAAAAACATTACCTGGGCATAGTGGCACAAACCTGTAGTCCCAGCTACTTGAGAGGCTGAGGCATGAGAATCGCTTGAACCTGGGAGGTGGAGGTTGTGGTGAGCCAAGATCGCACCACTGCACTCCAGTCTGAGCAACAGAGCAAGACTCTGGGTCAAAAAATAAATAAATACATAAAATAAATCGCATGGGGCAAAAGATTTTGTGGGTAGAAGAGCATATAACAGGGACATCTGTTATTATTTATACATTATAATCATCAACAGAAACACATCTTCTAACAGCATATTGCCTCACATTTTGGTTCTCATATTTTTGCGGAAAACCAAGAAATGAAAACAAGAAAGTGCCCTTATGGTACTGTTCCAAACTAGAAGATTTGAATTTCAGGGCCGCTAGGAGAGTTTCCTCTGCCCGCCTTTTAAAAAATATCTTCAGGCCTAACAAATGATAACATCTATTGTTATGAGGTTTTTTTTCCTTCCACAGTGTGATCTTGGAGATACATCATGATGTCATGCAAAGGTGAGCTTTTTAGAAACCTGTCTTGTTATTCTAGCTAATTACTTTGCAAGATATCAAGCTCAGTGTTAGGACACAGCTCTAGACATCATAAGTTGTATTGTGCCTGCTAAAATATCAAAGAAAATTATTTGTGTTTTCTTTGTTCCTTAAGATGCTTTTAATACTTAAACGACTGAGAATCCCAAAGACTATGTGTTTATATTGATTATATTGATATTTACTGTGGTAGAAATATAAAATTGAAATTTTTTTTTCAAAATCTATTTTTAGTTTAGATTTCACAGCCTTACCACTGTTGATATTATGAGCTAGATAACGCTTTGTTGTGAAGACTGTCCCGTGCATTGCAGAGAGTTTAGCAGCTTTCATGGCCTCTACCAACTAGATGTCAGTAGTAACTCGTGACCGAGGTTGTACAACATAAAATATTCCTTGAGAACAATATCAACAGATATTTTTCATTGAAAAAATAACTTTTCTACAACAAAAAGTTGAGTAAAAAGTGTGTCATGTATTTATATTATTTAAAGTCTCTCATGCTGAGCTTAATAGGAGACAACTGGACTCTAGATCTTTCTTTGCAATTTGCTTTAAAGAAGCAGTAAGAGGCCAGGTGCAGTGGCTTACTCCTGTAATCCCAGCACTTCGGGAGGCTGCGGTGGGTGAATCACAAGGTCAGGAGATCAAGACTATCCCAGCTAACAAGGTGAAACCCCATCTCTACTGAAAATACAAAAACTTAACCAGGTGTGGAGGTGTGGTGGCACACACCTGTAGTACCAGTTACCTGGGAGGCAGAGGCAGAACCGCTTGAACCCGGGAGGCAGAGGTTGCAGTGAGCTGAGATCGCACCACTGCACTCTAGCCTGGTGACAAAGCAAGAGTCCATCTCAAAAAAAAAAAAAAAAAAGGCAATAAGATGGCCAGGTGTGGTGGTTCATACTTATAATCCCAGCACTTTGGGAGGCCAAGGTGGGCAGATCACTTGAGGTCAGGAATTTGAGACCAGCCTGACCAACATGGTGAAACCCGCCTCTACTAAAAATATAAAAAATAGCTGGGCGTGGTGGTGCATGCCTGTAGTACCAGCTACTTCTGAGGCTGAGGCCAGAGAATTGCATAGACCCGAGAGGCAGAGGTTGCAGTGAGCTGAGATCTCACCATTGCACCCCAGCCTGGGTGACAGAGGGAGACTCTGTCTCAAAAAAAAGAAAAAAGAAGCAATAAAATGACCTAACCTCATGCAAATATGTAGTTGTTAAAAAGGTGTATTTTTAAAGTTTTCAGACAGTTGTCGGTATTCTTTAATACTAAATCAAAACTTCACAAGTGCTAGTTTCTTAAATTAGTTACAGTGGCATTTTCCATGTTAATAAATTTATTCCATCAGTACTCGTTGATCTTTCTTGCACATTAAATGGATCTTCCCCCCATACTTGCATTTATAATATTATGCATTAGTTACTTGGAATATATTGGTTTATGTTTTATTATGTCAAAAATCACTTTTAGTTTAAACACCAATCTTACTTTAAAACACCTTTAAGTATTGAAAAGTTGTCAAGCCTACAGTAGAAGGAATGAGTTTTTCAAAGTCCTCAAGAAAGCTTAAATTTCATCATTGGGAATAAATACTTATTTTCCTTGAAGTGACAACCTCTCACTTCATTTATTTTTGAGAATGATAGTTGTACTTTTTTTTAGACTGAGTCTCATTCTGTCACTTGGCTGGAGTGCATTGGCATGATCTCAGCTCAAGCAATCCTCTCACCTCAGACTCCTGTGTAGCTGGGACCACAGATGTGTGGCACCTCGCCAGGCTAATTTTCTTGTACTTTTGGTAGAGACAGGGTTTCGTTATGTTGCCGAGGCTGGTCTCAAATTCCTGAAGGAGCTCAAGCCATCGGCATGCTTTGGCCTCCCAAAGTGCTGGGATTTTACAGGCATGAGCCATAGCACTGGCCCAGTTGCACTTTTAAATAAAAACGATGTTCCGTTAAAAAAAAGTGATTGTTCAGTTCACAATTGAATCGCGAATTTTTTTTTTAGAAAAAAAAAAAAAAACAACCATACTGCAGTCAGCAGAAGCACTTCTTGTTAACTTTCCACTTATTCAGAATATTAAAGAGACATGTCAAGATTTAATAACAACATGAATTTTTACTGCTTCATCAAAGACATTCTTAAGAAATTCAGGCTATCTTTTTTAACTGTAGGGGACAGTAAAGAATAGAGTGACTAATGTAATTGGTACCACTGCCTTGATTTATGCTGAGAAACCAGCAGTTTACCCACTTTTACTTTTATACAGTCATGGCAAGTGTCAATGAAAAAGCAGGCAATGACTTTGTATTACTTTTACAAATTTTTAAAATTTTTAATCAACTTTCTCAGGTTTAATTAGTATGATTCAGAACAGTGTCAGCCAGGCACAGTGGCTCAGTCCTGTAATCCCAGCACTTTGGGAGGCTGAAGCGAGTGGATCACCTGAGGTCAGGTGTTCAAGACCAGCCTGGCCAACATGGTGAAACCACATTTCTACTAAAAATACAAAAATTAGCCAGGCATGGTGGTGGGCACCTGTAATCCCAGCTACTCGGGAAGCTGAAATAGGAGAATCACTTGAACCCAGGAAGTAAATGTTGCCGTGAGCCAAGATCACACACCATTGCACTCCAGCCTGGGCAACAAGAGAGAAACTCGGTCTAATAAAAACCAGAGTTGACCTCTTAGCCCTTCTGGAAAGGGTCTTGGGGATCCCGAGAGGTCCACAGAGCACATTTGGAGAACCACTGTTTTATCACACAGGCACAATGCATTAGTTTTACAAAGTTTAAAGTTCATCAAAGACTGGCCTCTTAAAAAGGCAGATGAGTTTTTAATTCAAACAACAGAAAATACGTAAATACATCATGAGAATATACTACGGAGAACTAAAGAGAAAGGAAGCTAGGAAATCTGAATCACGTTTACATTTATTTTTTATTTGTTATTTATTTATTTATTTGTTTGTTTGTTTCTGAGACAGAGTCTCGCTCTGTTGCCCAGGGTGGAGTGCGGTGGCGCAATCTCGGCTCACTGCAAGCTCTGCCTCCTGGGTTCACACAATTCTCCTACCTCAGTCTCCTGAGTACCTGGGACTACAGGAGTATGCCACCATGCCCAGGAAATTTTTGGTATTTTTAGTAGAGACGGGATTTCACAGTGTTAACCAGAACGGTCTCAATCTCCTGACCTCATGATCTGCCCGCCTTGGCCCCACCAAAGTGCTGGGATTACAGGTGTGAGCCACTGTGCTTGGCCACACTTACATTTATTTTATTTTATTTATTTATTTATTTATTTATTTATTTATTTATTTTGAGATGGAGTCTCGCTTTGTCACCAGGCTGGAGTGCAATGGCGCGATCTCCGCTCACTGCAACCTCCGCTTCATGGGTTCAAGCAATTCTACCTCAGCCTCCTGAGTAGCTGGGATTACAGGCATGCACCACTATGCCCAGCTATTTTTTTGTATTTTTAGTAGAGACAGGGTTTCACCATGTTGGTCAGTCTGGTCTTGATCTCGTGACCTTGTGATCTGCCTGCCTCAGCCTCCCAAAGTGCTGGGGTTACAGGAATGAGCCACTGTGCCTGACCACATTTTTAAAGTTCACCACTACTGCTTTGTAAAACATTCTTGTGTTTCAATGTGTGGTTAGAAGAGTGAAAATACATTTGGTTTATTGCCATTCCCTGTTAGGGACAGTCAATACTTACGGGCATTTCTGACTGGTTATCATATAAAAGACTTCACAGTACAGGACATGATGTGCTGAGAAAGAAGAAGTCAGGAAACCCTCTGCAAGTCAGGATCCAGGAGAAGAATTTGTAAATACTGCTTTGGTAAAGTAAACACCAAAGCACACAGGAGGCCGTATTTTACTAAACAGATACTATACTAAGATATTAACAGTTTTTGAAGTAATGCACATTCTTATTTTATAGAGATGCAGATAGATCTTTGAACATATTTGATGAATGGTTATACTCATTTAAGGTAAGTGGCACTTTTATTGAGGTTGTATTTTCATCATACACTTGTATCTGTTTCATGCTGAAGTCAAAGGCAACTTTTTAAAAAATCTTCCTCATTTCATGTCACATTTAGTCATCTTAAGTGTTGTAAAAAGAATGTGCTGGAATAAGAACTGGTCTGCAGCTCTGTTTAGTTAGTGAGCTAATACGAGTAAATATACTTTCCAAATAACAGAAAATGTGGGGGTTTTTTGTTTTGGTTTTTTTTTTTTTGGTTGTTTTTTTTTTTTTTTTTTTTTTTTGAGACAGAGTCTCTCTGTAGCCCAGGCTGGAGTGCAGTCACGTGATCTCGGCTCACTGCAGGCTGTGCCTCCCAGGTCCCTGTTCAAGCAATTCTTCTGCCTCAGCCTCTTGGGTAACTGGGATTACAGGCATGCACTACTGTGCCCGGCTAATTTTTCTTTTTCTTTTTTTGTTTTTCAGTAGATAGGGTTTTACCATGTTGGCCAGGATGGTCTTGAAATCCTGACCTCGTGATCCACCCGCCTCGGCCTCCAAAAGTGCTGGGATTACAGGTGTGAGCCACCATGCCTGGCCCAGAAAATATTTCTTTTTAAAAGGTAATTGTGAGCTGTCTATAGGACCCTGCAAGTCACTACCCAATGTTCGAAGCCATTCCTCCTTCTGTTCCACACAGGTTCCACCATGCACATTACCCAGACAAGAAATGGAGGTGGAAGTTTAAGTAACAAATTCCTCCTCCATTCCATCGACTCCCAGCACCAGCCAGGAGGACCTTCAGATCGATAGTCCTCCCGGTGCCAACACACCCACACCTGTTCGCAAGGAGTCCAAGCACTGGTCCAACCTGTTGACATCTGAGAAAGGGAATGACCCAGATAAAGAAAGCCCTAGAGAGTCATGCTGACATCACTGGGAGCAGCAGGGCCATTCCAATTAAACAGGGCATGCTCTTAAAGCTAAGTGGGAAATGGCTGAAGAAATGGAAAAAGAAATATGTCACCCTCTGTGACAATGGCGTGCTCACCTATTATTCAAGCTTAGGTGATTATATGAAGAATATTCTTAAAAAAGAGATTGACCTTCGGGTATCTACCATCGAAGTCCCAGGAAAGAGGCCACCCTTAGCCACACTGGCCTGTGTGCCCATTTCCAGCTCTAAAAGCAATGGCCTATCCAAGGACATGAACAGTCTATGTACCTCAGCCAATTCAGACACCGGGCTGGGTGACTCCATATGCTCCAGCCCCAATATCTCCAGCACCACCAGCCCCAAGCTCAACCCACCCCCCTCTCCTCATACCAACAAAAAGAAACACCAAAGGAAGAAAAGCACCAACAACTTGAAAGACGATGGCCTGTCCAGCACTGCTGAAGAAGAAGAAGAAAACTTTATCATTGTGTCCCTCACTGGCCAAACGTGGCACTTTGAAGCCATGACATATGAGGAGCGGGATGCCTGGGTCCAAGCCATCGAGAGCCAGATCCTGGCCAGCCTGCAGTCATGTGAGAGCAGCAAAAGCAAGTTCTGGCTGATGAGCCAGAGCGAGGCCATGGCCCTGCAGTCCATCAGAAACATGCGCGGGAACTCCCACTGTGTGGACTGTGAGACCCAGAATCCTAACTGGGCCACTTTGAATTTAGGAGTCCTCGTGTGTATTGAATGCTCAGGGATCCACCATAATCTTGGCACCCACCTTTCCCGAGTTCAATCTCCGGACCTGGATGACTGGCCAGTCGAGCTCGTGAAGGTTATGTCATCTGTTGGCAATGAGCTAGCCAACAGCCTCTGGGAAGAGAGTAGCCAGGGGCAGATGAAACCCTCGGTCGACTCCACAAGGGAAGAGAAGGAATGGTGGATCCATGCCAAATATGAGCAGAAGCTCTTCCTGGCCCCACTACCCTGCACGGAGCTGTCCCTGGGCCAGCACCTGCTGCAGGCCACCACTGATGAGGACCTGCAGACAGCCATCCTGCTGCTGGCACATGGCTCCCGGGAGGAGGTGAACGAGACCTGTTGGGAGGGAGATGGCTGCACAGCGCTGCATCTGGCCTGCTGCAAAGGGAATGTGGTCCTGGCTCAGCTCCTGATCTGGTACGGGGTGGATGTCATGGCCTGAGATGCCCATGGGAACACAGTGCTAGCCTACGCCTGACAGGCCTCCAGCCAGGAGTGCATCAAGGTACTGCTGCAGTACGGCTGCCCCGACGAGTGCGTGTAGTATCTGTTTAATTTTATTTGACTGCAGTCTCCTTGGTGCAAAAACAAAATGGGAAAAATAAATAAGAATAACTCAGAAATTCAAAAGGAAATCACGAATTCACCTAATAATAGCATTTTGAGTGCATTTCGTAAATTAAGTAAATACACAAAAGGTTGATTTTTCTGACCGTAAGAGATATTTTATGTCCTTTTGCTAAGATGGATATGTTAATCTCAGGCCCTCCTGGGCCACATTGCTCAAGTCACACAGGCTTCTGTATTATGTATTTAGATAAGATGTGTGAAAGTATCTTTGAAAAAAGTTCGTAAATATGCATTGATTTTTGTACACATGGCACCTCTCTTTTATTTTTTTGAAATGGAGTCTCGCTCTGTCGCGCAGGCTGGAGTGTACTGGTGCGATATGGGCTCACTGCAAGCTCCGCCTCCCAGGTTCACGCCATTCTCCTGCCTCAGCCTCTCAAGTAGCTGGGACTACAGGCGCCCGCCACCGCGCCTGGCTACTTTTTTGTATTTTTAGTAGAGACGGGGTTTCACCGTGTTAGCCAGGATGGTCTCAATCTCCTGACCTCATGATCCACAGCCTCAGCCTCCCAAAGTGCTGGGATTATAGGCATGAGCCACCATGCCCAGCTCATGGCACCTCTCTTAATTTATAAATTAATTGAACTGGATGTGAACTAATAATGTGCAATTATTGAGATAAGAGGTTTACAGATCATTATACATGGAAAATATTCCCAGCATAAGCACTTCCATTAATGTGATCTACAGCTTTTAAAAAGGAACATTTCAGAATAAGATGGTGGTACAATTTGCTTATTAAAATTGAGGAAAAAGAAAAAGACACTGGAGTATATTAGAAACGGAAAAGAAGGAATGTGATTTCTCATGATTAAAAGCTTGATTTAGATTGCATGCAGCTTTTGCTACCCAACACCAAGCAACTCTGGCAAAGCAGAGTGGTTTTCTGAATGCCAGACTGAGGTGCCTTACAAAGGCAGCTGCTGATGGTTCCAGATGTAGAGACAGGTGATGCAGGAGGGAAAGCTGGATTGGAAAAGGGAGAGTTTTGTAGATGGGCTAAGCTCAGTGTGCCTTTGAGAGAGCAGAGCCAGCAGCGTCTAGTCATCATTTGGATGTACAGGACTAGAGCATGAATCTGACGTAGAGCTGCGGAATGACGAGCAACAGCAGCTCATTAAATACCGAGAAAGTGTGTAGAATGAAATTGGACAAGCCAAGCATGGTGGTTTCATGCCTTTAGTCCTAGCTACTTGGGAGGCTGAGGTGGGGGAATTACTTGAGCTCAGCAGTTGAGTCCAGCCTGGGCCAGATGGTGAGACCCTGTATCTTAAGAAAAGAAAAAATAAGGCCAGGTACAGTATCTCATGCCTGTAATCCCAGCACTTTGGGAGGCCAAGTTGAGAGGATTGCTCAAGTGTAGGAGTTCAAGACCAGACTGGGCAAAAAAGTGAGACCCATTTCTACCAAAAAAAAAAAAAAAAAAAAAAAAAATCAAGAAATTAGGTGGACATGGTGGTACATGCCTGTGGCCCCAGTTACATGGCATGGCAGGCTGAGGCAGGAAGATCACTTGAGCCCAGGAAGGGGAGGCTGCAGTGACCTGTATTTGTGCCACTGCACTCCAGCCTGGGCAACAGAGTGAGACCCTGTCTCAAAAACAGATAAAGTGGACAGAAAATAGGTTGGTAAGGACTATTGTCATTTAAAAGACAAGCCCCCAGAGGAGTGGCTACTAGAGTGAGAGGAGGAAAAGCAGAAGAGGATAAGAAAAGGCTTTCGAAAGAGTTCAAGACAGGAGAGGCTGTGGTCACAGTGCTGAATGCTGCCAAGCAGTGACTTGATTCGTGAACACTTACTGGATGCTGACTCTGTTGCTCTTCTGAGTGCTGGGGTAGAGGAGAGAACAAGTGGAACACAGTTCTTGCTTATATGAAGCAAGTTCTAGCTTATGTTCTAGGAAGTTCAAACTTAAGTATTTTTTCAGGGAGTATAAAATAGCAGGAAGAGGAAGCAGGCTGAAGGGACACAGAGTGATTGGGGGCTATTTTAGGTAGAATGATAAGGAAGAGCCTCTCTAGAGAGCTGACATTTGAACAGTGACCTGACTGAGGGGATGATGGAAAACAGTGCTGACATTACAGGCAGCAGGATGACTGCCAAGACAGACAGAAAAGCATTTGATGTGTGTTTGAGGAACAAATAGCAAGGTGACCAGCATGGTCAGAGTGAACAATGAGGGAAACCTTGAATGAGAATAAAGCAATTCTATCTTAGATGCTAATCTGCCATGTTCTGATTAATCCCACTTCCATTAAAAACTTCTACGATTTCTATTTTATCTTTTTAATTTTTTTTTTTTTTTTTTTTTTTGAGATGGAGTTTCACTCTGTCTCCCAGGTTGAACTGCAGTGGCACAATCTCAGCTCATTGCAAACTCCACCTCCTGAGTTCAAGCGATTCTCCTGCCTCAGCTTCCCAAGTAACTGGGGTTACAGGTGCCTGCTACCACACCTGGCTAATTTTTGTATTTTTAGTAGAGACGAGGTTTTACCATTTTGGCCAGGCTGGTCTCAAACTCCTGACTTCAGGTGATCCACCCACCTCGGCCTCCCAAAGTGCTGGGATTACAGGCATGAGCCACCATGCCTGGCTGTACACATCCCTCCTGAAGCACACATTACCCTTTCCCTATGCTGTATAAGCCCTGGGTCGGGGAGGTGGGGGGGGATAGCACATGGATCCACCATCTTGCCTTGGTCCCATCGCTGACTTGGCTTCTGTTCATAAATGCCTATTATTTGTTTCTTTCTGAGAAACTGAATTTGTCAGCCTCTTTCCTTGGTATCTCATGTTCCTTGGCCTTTGCAGGTAGGTTTATATAGACGTGCTCACCACAGAACAAGCAGTTTCTCAAAAAATTAAAAATAGAATTACCAAATGATCCAGCAATATCACTTCTGGATATATAGCCAAAATAATTGAAAGCAAGGTCGCATAGAAACATTTGTACACTGATATTCATAGCAGTGGTATTCACACTCGTCAAAACATGGATGCAGCCTAATTGCCCATAGATAAAATGTGGTATACACATGTAGTAAAATATTCTTCAGCCTTAAAATGGAAGGAAATTCTAACACATGCTACAACATGGATGAACACTGAGGAAATTTTGCTAAGTGAAATAAGCCAGTTACAAAAAGAAAAATACTGTGTTCTTTCACTTATGTGAAGCGTCTAGACTGAGTAAGCAAACTAACAGAAACAGAAAGTGGAAAGGGGGTTGCCAGAGACATGGGGAAGGGAGAAAATGGGAAGTTGCTTAGTGGATATAGAGTTTTGGTTTTGTCAGATGAAAAAGTTCTGGAGATTGGTTGCATGGCAATGTGAATATACTCTACATTACCCAACCCAAGGGCTCTCCTTGACCCCTGTTCCAACTGTACACTTAAAAGTGGTTAACGTAGTAAATTTTATACATATTTTAATACAATTCAAAATAGAATTATTATTATTATTTATCTTTTAAGATGCCTCAATCTGTTGCCCAGGCTGGAGTGCAATGGCACTATCTCGGTTCACTGCAACATCTGCCTTCTGGGTTCAAGCGATTCTCCTGCCTCAGCCTCCCAACTACCTGGAACTTACAGGCACCCGCCACCATGCCCAGCTAATTCTTGTATGTTTAGTAGAGACAGGGTTTCACCATGTTGGCCAGGCTGGTCTCAAAACTCCTGACCTCAGGTGATCCACCTGCCTTGGCTTCCCAAAGTGCTGGGATTACAGGTGAGCCACCGTACCCAGCTCTCAAAATAGAATTTCGTTTTTTGTTTTTTTTTTAAGATGGAGTTTCACTCTTGTTGGCCAGGCTGGAGTACAATGGCATGATCTCAGCTCACGGCAACCTCCACCTCCCAGGTTCAAGTGATTCTACTTCCTCAGGCTCCCAAGTAGCTGGGATTATAGGCATGTGCCACCACACCTGGCTAATACTGTATTTTATTTTAGTAGAGATGGGATTTCTCCACGTTGGTCAGGCTGGTCTCCAACTCCCGACCTTAGGTGATCTGCTCACCTTGGCCTCCCAAAGTGCTGGGATTACAGGTGTGAGTCACCGCACCTGGGTTCTTTCTTTTTTTGTTATTTTTATTTATTTATTTTGTGTGTGTATGTGACAGAGTTTCGCTCTTGTTGCCCACGATGGAATGCAAGGGCACAATCTCGGTTCACTGCAGCCTCTGCCTCCCAGGTTCTCCTGCCTCAGCCTCCCGAGTAGCTGGGATTCCAGGCATGCATCACCACGCCTGGCGAATTTTGTATTTTTAGTAGGGATGGGATTTCACTGTGTTAGCTAGGCTGGTCTCAAACTCCTGACCTCAGGTGATCCACCCACCTCGGCCTCTCAAAATGCCAGGATTACAGGCAAGAGCCACTGCACCAGCCTGAAAAAAAAATTTAAAGTTTGAGAAAATGCAAATTTTGCATAGTCTCCAAGTATTTCTCCTAAGATATTTTCCCCCTATGAGGGGGAAAGATAGTAACTTTACAAAGGAGAAACCCAGCAGAAACCTGAACCAAATGAACAAGTTCAACATCATCGGTAAGAAGAACTAGCAATGCCATAACTCTGATGGAATGCACGGGGAAGGATTCCACATCATTTTTGTGCTGTAATTGCCAAGAGTGCATGACTTCAGTCCAATCATGGAAATATATCAGACAAACCCAAATCGAGGAACATTTGACAAATACTAATCAGTACTAGTTCAAAGTGTCATGGTTATGAAAGATAAGGAAAGATTGAGGAACTGTCACTGCAGTCCTACAAAACAGCGAGAGACTGAGAAATAATTAAATGCAGTGTGATCCTGGGTGGAATTTGGGAACAGAAAAAGGACATTAGTGGAAAAAGTGGTGAAACTGCAATAAGGTCTTTAGTTTAGCTAATATGTTCATTTTAAATTAGTTAAATAACTTAAATATATTTAAACATTACTTAAATGCATTTAAATTAATAAAATTTGCTATTTTGTGAAATAATTTTAATATAGTTAAATATGAGAATGTGGATTTCCTGGTTCTGATCACTGTACTGTGGTTATCTAAGAGGTGAACATTCAGGGAGGTTGGGGGAGGAATAAATGGAAATTATACTATTGAGCTGGAAGAGAGAAACCTACCCCATCAGTCACAAAACCCTCACATTCACGGCAGTGTGTTGGAGGTTCCAATATGAATGGCATTTCCCAGATGTCAGCACGAGGTCCCTGTGGAGGGAGTGGGGCTCCCTGGGAATCTAGTGGAGAGCATTCGGGGCTC